CTCGCGGGCGCCAGTTTAGGCTTCTTGCTTATTGGGGATTGATTATAGGACACATGGCTGTGGCTCTCTAAATTTATAGGACATATGGGCAGTTCTCTAAATTAGGGTCCTTTTGTAGGGTCCTTTTGATAAGGGTGCCGTACTGTTTTTGGGGGCCTAAAAGAAGGGGAGCCTGATTTCGAGAACTACCCAAAAGTATGGGAAGCTTCGAGGCTCAGGGTCTCTCAGCTAGTTTAACTCCGAAAAGCCCTCCGGCCGGGAGCCCGTGGCCATCCCGGAAGCCAGAGAGCCCAACTTACCCCTCAATTAAGGAATAGATCTTAAATCCTTATATTCGAAAGGCCCGTATAGTTTAAGGTATATTCCTAAACCCTAAACCCTTATAGATCCCTTTCAGGCCCCTATAATTCAAGGTATCTTCCTTCTTTAAGGGGTAGTATTGGGCTCTCTAACAAGTGCCACGCCCTAAACCCTAAACCCTAAGCCCTAAACCCCTACACCCTCCGGGAGCTCTTTTTTGGGCGCCCTGGGCCCAGGGATGTTCTGCTGAAGCTCAGGGCCAAAGATGCCACGTCAGCCCGGGGACCCGAAAGAAGCATCGGAGTTCGCGGCATGTTTTATGTTGATGTAGGAACCTGATTAAGAAACCCTTGGTTTAGGGTTGAGGGTTTAGGGTTTAGGGTTTAGGGTTTTAGGGTTTTAGGGTTTTAGGGTTTTAGGGTTTAGGGCTTTATTCGGCTTCTTCATATAAGCCCTATTGTTGGGGGTCAAAGAGGCCAGGGTTTCTTAATCAGGTTCCTACGTCAGGAAGTACGCGGTCATGAGGCTTCACTGCTGCAAAGTAGAGACCCTTTGCGCTCCAGTCCGCCTCGTCTTCCTCGGTTTAGGGTTTAGGGTTTAGGGCTGGACTCTGGATGGTCACGAACCAGTAAGTTTGAAGTTTAAGGCTTCCGAGGAGGACCGAGGGTTTCGGACCGCTGACCCCTAAACCCTAAACCCCAAACCCCTCTAAACCCTAAATCCCAAACCCCGAAACCCTAAACCCTAAACCCCAAACCCTAAACCCTAAACCCCTAAACCCCAAACCCCTCTAAACCCTAAATCCCAAACCCCGAAACCCTAAACCCTAAACCCTAAACCCTAAACCCTAAAGCCCTAAACCGTGGCTCCGGCTGAGGCACGCATCCAAGAGCTCTTCCAGGACCGGCGGATGGAGAAGCCGCATGGCAGAGATCCGGGGATCATCGAAGGCCGAACGAAGTCCTAATATAGGGTTTAGGGTTTAGGGTTTAGGGTTAGAAGCCTAAGTACCTACCTACAATATTTTGGGGGTTCCTTGTTATTATGTTTGTTTGTATAATGGGCCCCAAAACCCTATTCTAATTGTTGAGGCCCCTACATGAAGTCCTCAGCCGAGACTCAGTCGCCCTCTGAACCCTAAACCCTAAACCCTAAACCCTAAACCCTAAACCCTAAACCCTATGAACCCTTCTCTCGCCCCAAGGTATTGCGTGTGGTTTCTGGCCGCACTCTCCGGGATGCCTTTTGTCATCCAGGATATGTCCCCAAATGGCCGGGCCGGGGGAATTAGGGTTTAGGGTTTAGGGTTTAGGGTTTAGGGTTTAGGGTTTAGGGTCTTCGGAAGGGTCAGCGGTCTTGTTTGAGGTCTTGGGGCTGTTTCAGGAGCTTTTCACCAAGCGTCCAGGGCCTGTCAGCTCAACGTAGGGGCCTTAATGATTAGAATAGGGTTTGGGCGCATATTAAAAAATAATATATATATATATAATAACTATATTAAGGAATCCCCAAAATAATATAGGTAATTATGAGGCCCCTATAGTAGTTTGGACGACAGAGTAAGGCTGGAAGGCCGAGGAGGCCTTGCTATAGATCCGAGCATCGGAGAATCCTCCACTTGGAGGATCATGGGACATAGTAACTAGGGTTATAAATAATGTAACTATAATTAGGGTTTAGGGTTTAGGGTTTTAGTGGGGTTATAAACAAGGTAACTATAACTATAACCCCAATTAGGGTACTTATAGCCTTACTTACTAAGTCCCATGATCCTCCAAGCAGGAGCTGCAGATGCATGGCAAGGAAGCCTCCGTGGTGGATGCCGCCTTCTGTGCACCTCGGGCGCAAGCTTGTCGTTGCGACAAGCCCTGATCCCTAAAGTCTACTTCTTGGGGCTTTCTGGACGGCTTTCCAGGGGATGTTTGTTTGGGAAGGGTCCGTCGCTAGAAGGAATCACGATCTCAACCAACTCCGACCCTGACCCGGGTGGTGCCACCAGCGTTTACTGTACTACACCTGTGCTGACGACGCGCAGAGGCAATCATCGACATCCTCGACGATGACGTCGCCTCGTCCTGAGTCGTGATGTCTTCAACTTGGCTGTGAGATCATGTTTTGCGCCGGAACCTTTGGTGATCGCTATTCTTTAAAGGTGTCGCATGACTCCCCAGAGAGCCCAAGACCCCTTAAATAAGGAGTATACATAAAATTTCAAATTACAGGGGCCGTAATATTATGGGTTAAGGTGTATATATGCATATATATATATATATATATATATATATGCATATACATATCTACATATATATATATATATTTATTTATTTATTTGCATATATATATATATATTCCTTTTTAAGTGGTAAGTTGGGCTCTCTGGGTCTCCCGAACGAGGAATGTGAGTGGCTGTTGACGGACCATGTGAACTCCTTCTCCCGGGAGGACACGCCAGGCAGGTGGGTTTAGGGTTTAGGGTTTAGGGTTTAGGGTTTAGGGTTTAGGGTTTAGGGTTTAGGGTTCAGGGCTTCAGCGCTGAGGGTCTTGGGGACTATGCTGTTCGTAGCCATAGGCCCCATAGGTAGTTCCTTTTGGGGTTCAGGGTTTAGGGTTTAGGGTTATAGAATCCTATAAGGTAATCCCAAAAAGGAACTACTATGGGGCCTATGGGTAGCGCCCCCACACTGGCAGCAGCGACTGGAAACCAGAACGAAAGCCAACCCTGCCACGAAGCTCTAAACTCTAAACGACCCCGAGCTTCAGATACTCTACACCCCAAACCCTGAAGCCTGAACCCTGAACCCTGAACCCTAAACCCTAAACCCTAAACCCTAAACCCTAACCCGAACCCCAAGCAGTCTGCACTCGAACTAAATCGTGCTGGATGTATGCTGCAGCCAGGGGTGCTCGTAAT